CCCACCCAACACAGCATATTACTTTCTGTGTGCATACTCTTTGTTTTATTTGCTTATCAGCTGTCCTTCCCCACCCATGTGAGTTTCACAAGAATAAAAATTATTGTCTGTTCTATTCACTGGTATGTTCTTGGTGCCTGTCAGTATCAGGTACATAATTAGTGTCTGTTAAATGCCTGATGAATGAAAGAGTGGAGCCCAGAAGGCCTTCATATGGCCAGAGAAACAGCCTGCTTGGTCAGGATTTGGGATTGGGCTGGGGCCACAAGAGTAAATGGCAAGCAGCCTCATGAACAGAAGCCTCCATATGATGGCATCAGAGTGATCATTTGTACAAAAACTGGAGGTTTTTAGAAAAATCAGAATACCTTTATGGCCAAACATAGGGCGTTGTGGAAGTGTGAAGAGGATTTTTTTTTTTTAGCATATATTTTTATTGATCTCAGAGAGGAAGGGAGAGGGGGAGAGAGAAACATCAATGATGAGAGAGAATCACTGATTAGCTGCCTCCTTCATGCCCCCTACTGGGGATCAAGCCTGCAACTCCGGCATTTGCCCTTGACCCTTCAATCTGCAGGCCAACGCTCTATCCAAGGCAGTGAAGAGGGTTTTTGTTTTTATTTTTTGTTGTTTTGTTTTGCACTAGTGATCATATCTGGCATTTACAAGGCTCTACAAGGTATTTGTGGCAATCAAATTTAGTGACTGGGAGGAGGGATCAGGCCATGGGCCTCCTTGGCTCAAACCGTGATCCTCAGTGGTGAGTGGGGTGGTGACTCCCTTTGGCCAAAAAGTGGACCCTAAAACTTTAGGGAGCTGGACCAATGAATGTCTGGGAGTTGAAGTATGGAATTGGAGCTCTAACTTGAATTGATTCCAGGGCCTCCAAGTGAGGAACTTCAAATGCTTCTCTCTTGTTCATCTGCCCTTGATACCAAAGCACAGACATTTAGAACGGCAAAGAGGAGGAAAGTAGAGAGGTGTTTCTTTTAAAGGAGGTGTTTCCTTTAAAAAGGAATGAGAAATGAGAATATTCAGGTGTTTCCTTTTAGAAAGCCAACCTCCTTCATAGGCTGGAGTTCTTTGAGGGCGAGGCCTCTGTTTTGTTCACAGTTGTATTTTTAGTGAGCAGCATATTGCCAGTCACATAATAGAGAGAGAATGAATAAATCATTGAACAAGTAAGTGCGCTCTACCAATTTTGGGGCTTCTTGTAGCATTAGTAGTCGGACTAATGTAGGATTTCTTTACACAAGCTTGCTTTGTTCTTTAAAAATTCTGTAATAACCTGATGTTATAGTCTTTAGAATGAAGTGAATTTTGACTGAAGTGCACACAGCAATAATGTGTACAACTCAATGCTTGTGTTTTTCTGAGGCCAGTCAGCACACAAGCAGCATCCCTGTGGGTGCGTAGATGATGTTAGGAACCATGTTCTGTCCAAGTCAAAGGTGTTTAGCGACATGATTTCAGCATGCTGAAATTCCACTCTCATAACGTAAGGGACTCTTCATGTCTGTCTGGAAAGCCAAGCCAGCCTCAGCAAGAGAATCACATCCATACAGCTTGTCTGTGATAAGCTCCAAACTACGAGGCTCAGAAGTTGGCCTGTGGGTAGATTTTTCCTTCAATGTAAGGACTTGACTGGCCAGAGTGGAGACATACTAGGGGTCATATCCCTGGAGAGAGAGACCAATGGCCTCGGTATACAGCATCCTTCCCAGGACCTGAGAGGGAGCTCCCGGGGACTGTCTCCCACAAAGCTGTGATGGGACTTGCTATAGCCTAGAGTCCACATTTGGACACATGGTGCCAGCAGTGCTGCACAATGCCAGTAACATGAGGGGTCAAGGGTCAAAGGGTCCATTCAGTGTGGGGAGCCGATATAGGATTAAGCCTCGGACTGACCTGTTGGCAAAGCCACAAACAAGTCTTCTTCCGAGTCTTAAACAACCCAATCCGAGAGGTGGCCGCTGATTTACATACGCAGTCATTTAAAAAATAAAAATGGGGGAATTTGCCAGAAGCCAGTCCACCCTTGCTGCTTGACACAGTCGCTGCAGGGAAGAAACATCTGCATAGCTTATGTTTCAAGTGACCTGGCATATATGACATATGTTTGCTCCCCCTCCTAGCGCTATGTGTTTTAACCAGGACTACCTCCCTAAGAAAGGTTGTTTCCCAGGTAAGGATTTTTCCCTGGAGCTAACCCCCTGGTGTTACAGAAATACATGTATGAAGAACTTGGACTAAGACTGTTGGCAATAAATTTGGGACTTGTTGGGCATACATCCCCAGAGGTCTGCCCACCAGGGAAGTCACCAAAGCCTATACCCCCGGAGACCCACCGACACAGGGCAGTCCCAGGGAAGGCAAGCAGCGAGGCTGGGAGGACATAACCTTTACTGGGTAGGATAAACTCCTTCAGTCACTTCCTTGTAGCCTATCAGTAGAGCAGTGACCTTGGAATAGCCCTTGTAATGGAACACAGAGATTAACCTAGACAAGATTAAAATCAACAAAACTAAATAGAGACAGGATTTTTGGCAAAGGTCAGATAAGAAACAAGGAACTGTAGAACGTTGGGAACCCCTGGACTTGCAGGGGCTGGACTCCAACAATTCAGGGCCCAAGAACATGCATAGGGGGCTTGTCATGAGGCCTGGGCTGCTGAGATCCAAGGCAGTTTGGATCTCCACACTAATGCCAAGGAACTTGCCAGTGTCCTTAGTGCCTGTTAAAGGACTGACATGTAGAGGTTGTATAAGATAGGGGCGTTTATATTTGTTGTTTCTCTATCACAGGATAAGCTTCATTTGAAAATTAGTTATATGGGATGGAATGCTCAGGGGGATGCCATTGCACCCCCAAAGTAACCCTGCCTCCCCCCTACCCTGTTTTCCAGCATGGGCTACTGCATCCTTTTTGTGCATGGACTGAGCAAGCTCTGCACTTGGCTAAATCGATGTGGAGCCACCACCCTGACCGTGTCCACTGTGCTGCTGCTGCTGCTTTTCTCCTGGAAAACTGTAAAGCAGAATGAAATCTGGCTGTCAAGAGAGTCCCTCTTCAGGTATGATTTGATGGTATAAGAGTGACCTCTTCCCATTCATTCTTTTGCTTATATACTTGTTTCGAAACAAATGAGCTAACATGGGTCTAGCAATATTTATTGATCAGAAATTTTTTTTGATTAAGTTTTAAACGGAAGGTGTTATTTTTTGTTTTAACTTTGATTTTTGTAAAGGATATATAAAGTTTTGCAGAAGCTCGTGCTAAGTGAATTTATGAAAATAAGGCTCGTGGGAAGGTTTTGGGGTCTTAATGATGAGCAGGGCTGTAAAATGAGATCTAAATACAAGGAAATGAGCCTAATATCTTTTCCAGTGAATGGGAAAGATAAGCACGTGACAAGAAGGAAGAGAAATGCAATGCATTTTCTTCAAATATTTCAGAATATTACATTATGATTTGTGATCTGGCTGCTTTATTTTAAACATTAATGATGAATGAGGAAATTAAAGACTGTTTTATCTCCCAGTAAGTTTTCATGTGGAAGCTGCTTCTGGATATAACAATGTCAACATATAGCCCTAAACTTGTCATAAGTATAAACATTCTTTGGGGCTGTAGCTCATCACACTCTGCTCCTGGGCTTAGTCTGTCTCCCTAGTGCCGTAGTGTTGGCGACCTTCACCTTTGCTCCCCTATCACTACCACACGTGGCCTCCCACAGTGTTTCTCCAGTCTCCTATCCTGACCTAGGACACAGTTGGCCAGTTCAGTCAACATGGTTTTCACTTGGTTCCCTGCTCAGCTGGTAGCCACCACTTATTCTTCTGAGGCAAATAACTGGAACAGAATGGGGGTCACTTGTAAAAAAAAGGGTAAATATTGGAAGAGCATAAAAACGTGCCCAGAATGACGGGCAGTGAAGAAGCTGGCATGTAGCCAACAGGGAACGGGCATCTGGATAGCCTGTCCTGAGCACAGGTGCACCCTCAGGAATGAATGGGTAAACTTACACCAGTTTTTTCTTGTTTCACATCCAAGCCCTGGGAAAATAAAGTCCTCCGGCTTTATTTAGCTTGAGCCTAAATCACGTGCCTACCCCTCGTCCTCACAAGGGCACTGGGATGACCGACCTGGCCAGAGAAGCCCCTCTGACTTCCCTGAGGCAAGTTAGGACGGGCAGAGCACCTCAGGGCTCCACTGAGACCTAACAAAGGGAGACAGGAGAGAATTCCCCACAGGAAATCCAAGTACTGTAGGAGGGGCACAGACTCTGGGCTGCCAAGAGTGAATGAATGAGTAAATGAATGAGTGAACAAACAAGACAAATTTTCACTGCACTCTACTACTATTTTAAAATAATAGATCTGATCCTACAACTTGGCAATTTAACTTTTTAATAGAAAAATTAATCTGGAATGTATGTCTTATTAGCTTACTTATTACTGCTATATCATTGTCATCATTATCATTGCCATCATCATTCTTTCAATGGATACTGTAGGAACCTGCTGCCATGTAAGGTGTTTTGTGTGGATTTGATTTTTTTTAAGAATTTTTTTTTCATATCTAGTTGTCAGATTCTTTTTAGTCTCTGTCATACCCTCCACCTTCAGTGCAGTTCTTACACACAGTAGGCTTGTTCCCTCTTACTACCCAGGGCTGAGGCCATTCTGCAAACACAAGGGCATTGAAGTTCAGGAATATAACTGTCGGCTTTTTTTTTTTTTGCTTTTGCTTTCAGTAGTGAGTGCTTTAATGAGAAACTTAAAAATGGTTCTGCCCTGTGTTAAATCCTTTCCTTGGATAAAGATACTAACGGTGGTTGTGTCTCCTAATGATTTTTACTACTCAATCAGAGCAGCTTGGGGAATGGATTTTGGCAGGCAGCAGTTTATTTCAAGAGTAATAAGCCAGTGTTCCAGCCCTCCGCAGTTGATGCCCAGTAGTTTTAAATAAAAAAGAAAAGAAAAGAAAAATGTTCATTGACCTTACATCCAGAAGCTTCTGTTCTTTTACATGGAAGCATGTAGTAAGTGAACAGTTGGTTACTAAAACACATATGTTTTAGTATGTTTATTCCACATGTGTGCATAGAGAAACTTTAAGACAAGGTTAGTGGTTGAGTGTGGAGTCTGGAGGTCAGCTTCTTGGTTCCAGTCCAAGTTCCCCCATTTAACAGCTGTGTGATTTTGGGCAAGATACTGAACCACTCCATGCCTTCATTTCTTCATTTTAAATTTGAGAATCATAATAGTGTTAATCTCCTGAATGTAGTATAAGAAAAAAATGTATGTGAAATATGCATAAGACAGTGTCTGGCATATGGTAAACACCATGTGTGGTTTTCAGGTTCTTATTATCCAGTGTATTCTAGGATGAGCGGGGTGGGTAGAAATTGACTGTAGAGAAGCCAGAAGTCACCATGGGTGTCAGATGTGTGAGCATATTTTGATACAGTATAACAAGCCGTAAACAGAAGTAGATGCAAGACACTGTAAGTGCAGGCAGATGGCCAAGACCAGCACAGGCCTTGAAGGGCTGTTCTCTTGCAGGCCTGAGCTGAGTATGGAAGGATGAGAAAAACCTAAATTAGCCATAATGACCAGAAAACAAAGAGGTGGCTGAATTGAGTAAGAAACCTTGCAATGGTTCTACATAAGCTGGTGTCCTTAGCAGGGGCCCTATTTCAGTATTCTCCTCTGTTCCAAACAATAAATCCGTTGAGCATCATTAAGACATATGGTCTCATTGAGGCCTCACTAATTATGTGGGTGGTTTTTCTTGACAATATATAAGGAATCAGTCCAGCCAGCGTGGCTCAGTGGTTGAGCATTGACCTATGAACCAGGACGTCACAGTTTGATTCCCAGTGAAGACACATGTCCGATTTGTAGGCTCAATCCCCAGTGTGGGGTGTGCAAGAGGCAGCCGATCGATGCCTCTCTCTCATCATTGATGTTTCTGTCTCTCCCTCTGAACCCCATTCATGAACTGTTTAGGTGGTCATAGACCACCGATTAAGATTGTCTGGCCTAGATCATCCTCCCCCTATGTAGGAAACACATTTTTCTTTCCTCCCCTCTGAATTACTGAGCCATAGAAATCAGTTGACTTTTCAGGACATATAATGTAAACCAGGGCTGGCAAATATTTTTGTAACGGGCCAGATAGTAAATGTTTTAGGCTTGGTGAGCCTTGTATTCTCTTTTGCATCCATTCCACTCTGCCTTTGTCTCAGGAAAGAAACCGAAAGGACAATAGGTTGACAACACATTGACGTATCTGTGGTCCACACAGCCATAGTTTGCTTACCAATGATATAAATGTTGTGATCATGTAAGTCTAAAGTTACTAGTCTCTTGGGGTACCATTCATAAATGATTCTGACCATGTATTAAACTTGATTGAAATCTCTGCTCAACTACTTACTAGGTCTCTAACCTTAGAAAGAGGTCTTAATACCTCTTAGCTTCAATTTCCTCATCTATGATATAGAAAACACATTAATACTACCCATCTGATAGGTTGTTGAAGGGATAAAATGAAATCATCCATGGAAATGGGTGCTTGATTCAAAATGAGCATTCCTTAAGTATTGGTCATACTACGCGTGGCATTGTGAAGCCTCAGGTTAAAGCAAGGTCAAAATTGAGGAGAATGACAATTTCTTCTTAATCTTTCCTGTTAACCTTTGGCTGAACACCACTCTTTAAAAAAAAAGAGAGAGATTATTATCTAATCAGGAATTTGCGGATGGTTCTCCTGACCTATTGTCCAGTCATGCCAACAAAACAAATTGATGCTCTATAAACTTGGAGATATACTCTATATAGAAGTGGTCTTTTTTGTTGTTATTTCTGTCATTTTTTCAAGTTTCTGCAAATGAAGGATGTGAAGGAGAAATACAAAGTGCATGAATTAAGATCCTGAGTTGAAAGGGAGATTTTTCATAATCATTATTGTAATTTTTAATAGGGTTTGGGACCCAGCCATATGATTTATGGACACTACATTTCCTTGTGGAGTAAATATGTGTAAAGCTGTATGTTTCCTTTAAAACAGTTGTGAGTACTCAATCATAGCACCAAGAAAACAGACTGAGAAGCCTGGCCCCGAGGGAAGAGCAACCTGGCCAGGGATAGCAACATGGAAAGTTTTGCCCTTGGCCAATTGTTTATTTGCCTTTTTTTAAAAAAACAAAATGTTCATTGCAAAATGAGAGGCTGAAAAAACACAACAACAACAATAACAAAACCACAAAGAGAATATAAAGGTCAAAAACAACAATGGGAGAATGTGTGTTGTTAGGATTCAGTTGTTCCACCCACAGCTGCTTGCCTGTTATGAATATTATTATTTCCTCTCGCCATCATTGAACAGTGCACTGATCTCATCCAGGAACTTGATCCCAGAGGCCTAATTGTCTGTTCCTCAGTTGGTGCAACATAAATTAGAGCAACTATGCTGATCACACAGGGAAGGCTCTGTCCCAGTAAATAGACCAGTAATACTCATGCTGAAATTGAAGTTCTCTTTAAAACCTACCTGTTACCACCCTAGTTGGTTTGGCTCAGAGAATAGAGCATTGGCCTGAGGACTGAAGGGTCATGGGTTCAGTTTCAGTCAAGGGCACATGCCCAGGTTGTTGGCTCATCCCCAGTAAGGGGTGTGCAGGAGGCAACCAATCAATGATTGTCTCTCATCGTTGATATTTCTATCTCTCTCTACCTCTCCTTTCCTCTCTGAAATCAATAAAATATTAAAAATAATAAATAGATAAATAAATAAATAAATAAATAAATAAAACCTGTTACCATGTACTGTTTAGTTCTGGGTAGAAAAATCAGAAATTTTCTTGGAAAGAAATTGGATTTTTTTTAAGCCATTACTCTCACACTAACCCAGATCATGCCCCTGTGACTAAATTCACTTGGGTAACATCCATTTAAATATGATGTTAAAATCCTAGCTCTGTGTGTCAGCTGGGGGGCCCCACCACAGGGGTGGGGGAAGGAAATGGATGGTTTCCCTGGAGCACCTGCTGAAGGTCAGCCTTTGTAAATCTTTCCACTGAGAGCAGAGGATTCCTCCAGCTCCTCCCTGGGGGACCAGTCCTGCTGCAGCATTCAGAGAGCTTTCCGTGGGGAAGAAACTGGGGGATGGATCCGCAATGTTCAGAATACAGATTTCACTTAATCTTCCTTTGAGGAGCAGTTCTCCCCCAAAACTTCAACTGGCCCTTTGTTCCTGAGTGAGGGTCTCTCTGATGTAGCCTTTCCAGAGAGTAAACTGCCTTCTGCTGGGAGAGTGAGAGCATCATTGAAAAAAGTCACCTGGATGTGCAGGGAGGGAAGTAGATCAGGATGCCAATTGTTCCTGATATGAATTTATGGTCCATATTTTCAGCCTCACCTCTCATCCCCCAAAAATCCTACCTACCTTTTTAAAAAATTTTTAAAAATATATTTTATTGATTTCAGAGAGGAAGGGAGAGAGAGAGAGATAGAAATATCAAAGATGAGAAAATTATTGATCAGCTGCCTCCTGCACAACCGCTACTTGGGATCAAGCCCGCAACCTGGGCATGTACTCTGACTGGTAATTGAACCTGTGTCCTCTTGGTGCATGGGTAGATGCTCAACCACTGAGCCACATGGGTGGGGCATTTATTTTAAAAAAATATTAGACTTAGTCCATGATAAATGTTAATTTTCAGTAAAATTTAGTAGGAGGCCAATCCACATTCATTCCTCCTATAATGAATAATATAGATAATCTCAATTTTTTTTAAGGAAGTCTGTAAGTGGATGCAGGAAGCAAGGAAAGAACAAATTGAATTAACCTGAGCATGCAGGGTTGTTCTCCAGCCATTCACCCATCTCCATGTCCTGCCACCACTGCTTCAGGTGCAGTTAGCATTACTGTTTAGTTGTGGGCCACTATGCACTGCCTTCATTGTTTTCTATCGAAGCATGTTTACTAACTCATATAATTCACAAATTGTGGAAGACTTGACTTTAAAGAGTGCAATGGACATTTCAAATGCAGGGTCATGAAACTGTAAGTAGAATATGAAAGAAACTTCCCCCTGGCCATGTGGCTCAGTACTTTGGATCATCATCTCTTATACCAAAATGTTGTTGATTTGATTCCCAGTCAGAGCACATACTTGGGTTGTAGGTTCAATCCCTATTTGGGGCTCGTATTAGAGGCAGCCTATCCATGTTTCTCACAATGATGAGATGTTTCTCTCTCTCTTCCTTCTTTTCTCTCGAAAAATCAATAAAAACATATCCTCAGCTGAGGGTTTAAAATATATATATATAAACTAGAGGCCCAGTGCACAAAATTCATGCATGGGTAGGGTCCGTAGCAGCTGCCAGCTGCTGGCCAGGGCCTCCCTTCCCTGGCTACCAGCTGCCAGCAGGGCCTTCCTTCATTCCGCGCTGCCCCCTAGTGGGCAGCACATATCATAGTGAGCAATCAATCTGGTCTGTTGAACTCTTGCCCGAGGGGACAATTTGCACATTAGGCTTGCAAATATATATACATACTAGTGGCCCAGTGCATGAAATCTGTGCACATTAAAAGAGAATTAATGAGAAGAGATATTTTAATATTGCTATTTGCCCTTTCTCTATAATAGAAGTGTCAGAGATGAAAGAAAATTAGTAAAATGTATATAAAATCTTCCTTCTGTCAGGGTCTGGGGCATACCTCAGGGCCTAGGGTCAAGTCCCCGCCCACCTCCTTCACGTGCTTCGAAAAATGCAGGAGACCCAGACCCGAACAGCCCCACCCACATTGGGTGAGACCTAGACCCAGCCGGCCCCATCCCCGTCAAGCCTCTCTGGTTGGGGGGCACAGTCTCAGGTCACCCAGCCCAGCACCAGGGCAGGGGGTGCGGCCTGAGGTCCCCTGTCAAGCCCCACCAGGTGAGGGGTGCAGTCTGAGGTCCCCCATCAAGACCCGCTGGGGCGGTGGGTGCAGTCTGAGGTCTCCTGGCCTGGAGCCTGGGCAGGGAGAGCCTGTCTCCCACCCCGAGCCAGGGCGGGGGTCCCCTGTCAAGCCCTTCCAGGCGAGGGTCATGGCCTGAGGTCCCCTGTCAAGACCTACTGGGCGGGGGATGTGGCCTGAGGTAGCCTGTCAAGCCCTGCGGCTTGGGGGCACAGCCTGGGGTCCCCCGGCCCATTGCCGGGGTGGGGGGCACAGCCTGAGGTCTCTCCGCTCAGAGCTGGGGCAGGGGCGTGGCCTTAGGTCCCCATCAAGCCCAGCCCCCCTACCTCACAGCGTCATACCAGTGCTGAACGGGGACACACAAGCAGGCAGTGTGACGTTAGTGCTGGGGGCAGAAGTCCCTGCCCCTGGCCCTGCCCACAGACTGGTTGTGACTGGGACACCATAATGGACAAATTAGCATATTACCTCTTTATTATATAGACTAGAGGCCCGGGCTCTTTAAAAAAAAAACACACACACACACACATCAATTGGTTGCCTCCTGCACACCATACCCCCTTCTGGATTGAGCCCAAAACTGAGGAATGTGCCCCGACTGGGAATCGAAACAGCAACTCTTCAGTGCACAGGATAATGCCCAACTGACTGAGCCATGTGGGCTGGGGCAGACATTCTTTTTTTTAAGAAAATGAGCTATAAGTCATATCATAACTTTCATCCTTTATAAGCATACAATGCAGTGGTCTTTAGTATATTCATGAACACAAGCAGCCATCACCATTCTCTAACTCCAGAGCGTTTTCCCCACTCCAAAATGAAATCCCATGCCCACTAGCAGTCACTCCCCCTGACAATCTCAAATCTACTTTCTGTCTCTGTGTATTTGCCTGTTCTGGATTTTTTACACAAATGGAATCAGGTGATATATATGGCCCTTTGTGACCGACTTCTTTCACTTACTGTTCACAGTCTATCTTTTTGTAGCTTGTATAATAAGTCTTTCATCCTTTTTTATGGCTGAGTAATATTCCATGGCTAAATTATAGTTTGTTTATCTGTTCATCAATCCACACACAGTAGGTTGTTTTTACTCTTCGGCTATGAAGCATATGCTGCCATGAACATTCTTGCACAACGAGCTCAACATTCTGACTTTCGGACCCTTGTGCCTAACCTGTACACTTGGCTGCCTCCCTCCGTGCACTGGAGACTTTTCAGGAAATGTCCTGCCTGTGGAATTTGCCAAGGTTGTTTGACTTACATCAATGACCTCTAATCAGTCAGTGGACATGGCATTTGTTGGTTTTGCAGTGTTACAGAATAACATACAGTTGACCCTTTTGGTTGTTGTTGTTGTTTAACATCAAAGGTTCGTCATTGAACAAATATCTATTGAGAGCCTTCTGTGTGCATGGCTTGCAGTCGTCCTGCAAGGCAGGCAGGGAACGTTGCTTTCCTCTGTCCCTGAAGCAAGCAAGCCTCATGTTAGTTCCAAGCTGCCTGGATCCCGGCCGCCATCTTGGCTGGCAGGTATTTTGCATATTGCCCTGATTAGCCAATGGGAAGGGTAGTGGTCATACGCCAATTACCATGTTTCTCTTTTATTAGGATAGATATGAAGGACAACATTCCTAAGCAGTACTCTTTGTTGCTCTCTTTTTTTTTTTTAATTAATTCTAGGTCTGGAGTTCAAACTCTGCCCCATAATGCCAAGGTTCACTACAACTACGCAAATTTCCTGAAGGATCAAGGTCGGAACAGAGAAGCAATCTACCACTACAGAACAGCCCTCAAGTAAGCACCATGCTCCATATGGGTGTAGCTGTTGTGCCTTTCAGGTCCTGTATTTCACTCACTCTGAGCATGTGGGTGGTTAGTTTCTTTCTCATGACAATGAACATCTCCTTGGAAGTGGTAGTGACCTTGGACTCTGAGTCTTATGGCTCAGTGTTCAAATCTGCTATTAGTGTGGTAACTCTACCTTGCTCTTATCTCATGCTGTCTTGTAAAAGTTTCACTGCTACACATTGCAAAATGAAGTGATGCTCAGTTGAACACACACACACACACACACACACACACACACACAGGCAAACTGGAGTTGGTTGTCAAAAATATACTTGTAAGTTCTAAGGATATTTACTCTGATGAATTGTCCCCACTCTAGGCTTCCGACTGTCTGAAAGGATTTATATGAAGACATTTGAGTATACCAAATATGGCTTGATGTATGACTTTAAGAGAAACTAAAAATTCAAGTTCTAAATTACCAGCAACAGTCTGTATTGCTCTTAAATACTCTTGAAAATTGCAACTCTGGCTTTCAAAATGGTCTTCCACCGAAACCGGTTTGGCTCAGTGGATAGAGCATCGGCCTGCGGACTGAAAGGTTCCAGGTTTGATTCTGGTCAAGGGCATGTACCTGGGTTGCGGGCACATCCCCAGTGGGTGTGCAGGAGGCAGCTGATTGATGTTTCTCTCTCATCGATGTTTCTAACTCTCTATCTCTCTCCCTTCCTCTCTGTAAAGAAATCAATAAAATATTTTTTAAAAATGGTCTTCTCCAAAAGGTCCCAGATAATGAACATATTTATCCTGGAACCTGTGGAGACGTGATAACTAGCACAGCCTCAGATTCTCCAACTGTGGGCAAAATAGAGCAAGGTGCATCCTCTCTTTTACTGAATCCCAGGGGGCTCACTGAAGCTTCCTGAAGAGTTTTCCATGCCCCCACAGATTGACTCACATCTGTTCAAATTTTCTGTTCCTGGTCCATCTTAGGACATACTTAAAATATGCAAACCAAACAAATATATTTGACTGAAGCGCCAACTCTATTGACTCAAAGCTCAGATTGAAATTGTCATTCTTAAAGTAACCGACCTGATTTTCAAAAAGTATCCCTTTGAACAGTGTTCTGCTCAAGTGTGTTGTTCATCAGTCAACATCTGTTAGATTTTAGGACCTGTTACTTAATATTCAGTATAGCAAGCATTTTCAACTGTCGCATCAAGTTCGCTGTCAAATACTTTCCCAAAGATTTCAAGAAATGTTAGGTTCTGGAAGAGTACTTGTAACAGAGCTTTTTATTGAGGAATAGACATTTTTATTAAGGAGTAGAAGATAGCTTTTAAGATGTTAAGGAATGATATTCTTTCACTGGAAGGCAGTTTACCCAAATGTTTATGATGCTTATCATGGGCTGGTAAGATTATGGTTTAAATTTTTTTAACTTTCTCTTGTGCTCTAGATATTTACAATGAACATGTATCACCTTGGCAAAGAGGAACTGTCCTTTTTAAAAAGGCATATTCCTTCAAGGATACACATAAAGTGTGTTTTGGCTTTAACAATTGGCATTTCACGATTTTAGCTGGCACTCTTGAAGGAAAGAAAAGAGCAGTAAGTTTGTGTGAAAAATATTGATTGGAGGGAAGTGTATCGGTATCTTTTTAAATTTGTTTTATTCTAACAGACTATTTTCTTTCAAGTTCGCACAGGAAAATATGGCAGACCCTGAAGCACAGCTTGGGGCAAAGGTATAAGTTAAGTAAATTCTCTGGCAGGTGATTTTACTGAATTATAGTAGCCAGTTGGGTACTTCGGCTTCTCTCCCATGAAACAATAAAAATAAATGTTCAGCAACTGTGCTTCTGGAAGAAACATGTCCCTTGAGAAATGAGGAAAAACAGTGAAAGCAGTAAATATACCGCATAGTAATTAGTGGAACATTTCGCTCTCTCAGACCAGGTTCAAAAATTCTTCTGATCTAAAATAAAGCATCATTATCTTTGTGTGGATACCTCTGTGGTGAATTTCCAACAGATGTGGGTATTTTTTGGTGTGTGTGTTTGTCTGTGTGTGTGTGTGTGTGTGTGTGTGTGTGTGTATGTGTGTTTAGAGACAGAGGAAGGGAGAGAAGTAGAAAGAAACACTGATGAGAGAGAAACATCATCCATTGGCTATCTCTTGAACACCCCCAAATGGCGATGGAGCCTGCAACCCAGGCATGTACCTGAACCAGGAATCGGAATCGGTGACCTCTTGGTTCCTAGGTCCGTGCTCAACTGCTAAGCCACAATAGCCTAGCTGTGTGTGTTTTATAATTTAAATAAATTATCACTGTGTGTTAGAAAATGAAAATACTAGGACTGTTCATTACTAGAAGAAAGCCCTTATTTTGATATTGCTATTTCTTTGTGGGAGTTGCTGAGACAGGAATTCCTCCCCCTCCCAACTGTTCCACCTCTGTTTCAACTTCAATGTATCTGATGTTTTCCATACTTGCACACTGCAAGAAAGAGAATGATTAGGAGAGATGCAGGGTTGAAGGTGATATTATCTGAAATCAGGCCCAACAGTTACTCATTCCTGTTGTACTGACTATGTAGATCCCAGTGGGAATGGTGAAATTAGTCATTAGGGTTGTGTCAATACCAATATCTTTTTGGCTGGCGTACAGTTCTAAAAATAGCACTATATTAGATTGGTAATTCTATATCACATGATTATTCTGCTTCTTTTAAGCTTTATTCTATTTTTTTTAACCATGTAGAAGTATTTCTGGAGTACAAGGGAAATCTCCCCAGGAAAATGCTACAGCTGAGGTTATAGATTCAGATTAAGATCCACATCATCAAAGAAAAATATCAGGATCCTTTCCTAACACAAGAATTAGTTTTGTTTTGCTGTGAGGGGCAGCTCTCATGTCTGTGCCTAGTCTGGGTTCTATAAGGCTTGCGATTCTGTTTTCTGAAGAATCAGAAGACCCCTAGTGGATCTGCCAGGTAGCTCCAATGCTTTCTGACCATTGCATTACCCTGGGGAAGGTTTCTGCCATGACGCCTTATTTTATGGAAATAGAAAGGCTAGAGATTGCCCAGTATCTCAGCTCTCCCACGAAATGCCTCATCCCATAAATCCCAATGGAGAGATGGTGGCCCTGCCTGGATGAAGTGTAGAAGACACTGAATGTGTACTTGGCCAGTGCATTGTTGATTAGCTTAAAAAGTCTGTTAAAGGTGAAGAGATTTAAAACAATTTATGCATGCTCTCAAATTTTATATTGTACCCCAAAATTTCACATCTACATCTGCTCACCAATCTACTACTGTCAAGCCAAGTCCTTTCCTCAGAGTAAGAGTCTGCTGATTAGAAGCTGCAAAACCACACCCATAATTCACTTCTATGATGATCAGTTTCGATACTTTAAAGTGGAATAAAAATTTTAAGTCTATTTGAGAATTTTCTGATTATATTCCTCCAGTCTTTTACAATGATCTCACATGTCTAACTCAATGGCAATTTTTTGAACAGCTTCTCTTTTTTAAGTACTTTCAGAGTATTTGCTTAGTTTTAATGGAAATAGCAACTCTCTTATTTATATTTACATTTTATCGGTTTGCAAAATATTTTATTATATTGTACAATTGCAATAAAAGCTTCAACTGGAATAATTTTGTTAATAAACACAATAGACTTTTAGCAGTCATGCAGCTCAGCCCACGGGAGCAAAAGGGCCCAGGCTTACAGAGAAAGTTTAAGTTGTGGATATCTACTGATATGTTTTACAGAGAACATCTGGGAATCTGATGACATAATTAGAGGCTGTTTTAAAAGCATTTGCACTAGGTGATAGAGTCATGGAATCTATTTTTTCATCTTGTATTTAAATTCCAGACATGACTGGATTACTGGTTGGCTAAAATGGATGGATCATCAGGAATCCTGCAGCCAGGAATGAGAGTAGAGTTTGTCTTTGTCCAGGTGGGTCAGGAAGGTCTCTCCACAGATTCTGCTGAACATTTGTTCACCTAGATGCTGTCTTCCTCCCACCCTACTAGCATAATGACTGGCCACACCCAGGTCTGCTGATGTGTTCCAGGTGCTTGGATACCAGCCATATGTGCAGGATTCCATCCTGATAAAAGGGCTGTGATCCTCTCAGTCACTCAGACAACTATTTTATTTTCACAGATATGCTTTCAGCATGAAATACACAATAAATCATTTTAAGATTCCCCCCCCATAACCCTATCATGTGGGAGATGCAATGCCTTGCCCTGGAGGTGCTCAAGTTGTCCTGGGCCAGCCCTGGGACCCTTAGAGCCGCCTTGCCACTCCTAATATATCTGTTATTGATGTTTTAAACAGAAAATCTGAAGGGAGAGAAAACTATGTTCAAAGGGGGTTGAAGTTCCTGAGCAGGTTCTTTTCTATGGGCATAACTAAAAGGGAAGGAATGTGCTTTTAATGCCCCGGGACACAAGAAATCTACACTTGCTTTTAACTGGTTAATGCATGGGAAAAAAATAGACTTCTTATTGGAATTTTTTAATGCATGAAGTAAAGACTTGTCATGAGAGTAGTGCCCATTGGTATCGTCCTTTGTATTTCCTCCTGTGTGGATAACTGGAACTTGGCAAGGAGATCCCATTAGACTACAATAAATGTATGTGGAAATGGGAAGTAATAAAAGAACGAGTATTGAAGAAATCCCATATCATTAGAGTCTAGAGAAATCTAACTGTGCCCCACTGTTCACTGATGTCCTGAGCATATCAATAAGATTACTTTATTATAAATCCTTTGCAAAATGCTATCTATAAAACTGGTGGGGTTTGAGCATCTTTTAAAAATCAGGGTTTATGTAAAAAGTCTTTCTTTACACAGCCTGTTTTGAATGAACATTTGAAATAACTCTACTGACGGCAGGTGGCCTTGGATACCAGCTGCCATGTGTCTCTGGAAAGAATTAAAATTCCAATGTCTCTGCTAGCCAGGTTGAAGAAAAG